GGAACATCCCATCACACACTGGGAAACAGGAACATCCCATCACACACTGGGAAACAGGGGCACACCCCATCACAGACTGGGAAACAGGGGCACATCCCATCACAGACTGGGAAACAGGAACATCCCATCACACACTGGGAAACAGGGGCACATCCCATCACACACTGGGAAACAGGGGCACATCCCATCACCAAATGGTCAGTTGTGGAGACTGATTTGGCCAAACCCCACTTTTAAACACAAGGAGACAGTGAAAACTGAAAGGACTCATTGAAAAGTAGCAAAGAACACTCTGCCCACCACCTTGACTCCTGTCTCTTAACACAACTTGTAATTCTTACCACGAACACCACTCTTTCCTATTATTATGATAACAGGTATCATCTCAGGCACTTCACCCTCTCAAAGATTATTCCCATGGCCTAAAACTCAAATGCTCTTGAGAACAATCTCTAGATAAAATATCAAGTTAAGATTTAGATTGTTTGTAAATCTTTTAGGGAAAAGAGAAAGAACTGTAGTTGTTATTTTAAACATTATCTGCGAAGAGATACACAGATGAGTGGAAATGAAGAGAGTATTTCAGAGGCATCCAAATGTTACTCTGTTTTAAAAATCACCCCTTTAAATAGCTGCCACAAGCCTTGCTGTGGTGCTGATACAGGACACCACTCCCAGTGACACACAGCTGGTACCAGCATGTCCCAGGCTATAAATTCAAACCCTCCTCTGGGATTACACAGCCCACAGCCCAAAGGGACACGTTCCATTACAAACTCTTAGTCCTGTAAAGCTCAGAGTTGTTATCTCTGGGTCATCTCCATTCCTGGCTGGCTTTTATTACCCTGTTTTGTTCTTTTCTGCCAAATTCAAGTGACCACAGAACAGCTGGTACATTCCCATGGGATCTCTCCTCCACTACAATGACTCCTATCAAGACAGGTGATATGGGGCCAAACAAAGACATCCTGACTCTTCCCTTCCCAGGTCACCACTAAGCTGCTCACTCCTCCTGCCATGTGTTCATTCCATAGGCAAGGAAAGCGTGTGAGGACTCAGTGAGTCCCTGGATGAAGAAGGGGAAACAGGATTTCTCCATGTTTATCTGCTCTCACAGTGTATTACTGAAGAGGACCATCATTTGAATGCTCACATATCATTAATGACTTGAAAAGGAAAACAGTGAGGACCTTATTCCTTACAATCATTTTATTACCTTGAGCTGATGTGAGTCCAGCTCAAAGCAGGAAAGGGAGAAATAATGAACCAGGGTTGAAGGAGCTGTGGAGCTGAAGCACAGAATGCCTCAGACTAATAAGAAAAGGTGACCTAGAAACCTTGATTGGCAATCACCACTCTGTGGGAAGCCTGCAGTAATAATCCTCACTCTAATTGGATTAGATTGAAAATGAAAGGGGTTTTTTCCCCAACAAATACCTGAAATTAATAACCAGCTCAGGCCCGGTGCATCAGTTACTATTATGAACAAACTTGAGAATTAAATTGCTCCCCAGGCACTGTATCAAGGGTTTACAATTTCTTCTTTGCAATTCTTTTGAGAGCACTGAAGGATCCTTTGGGGCTGGAAAAGGACTGATTTAAAGGATTTACAGACTGATTTAAAGATACAGACTACTTCCTCCAGAAATGAAGCAGTGCAGCAGGAGACCTTTGTACTATTATTCTGCCTTTTAAGGGGTTTTATTAATTTAATGGTGCAAATTCTTGCTTAGCTTTCAAAACCTCCAGCAATGAATTTCCTCCATAAACACTGCTCATTTCTGAGAACTGAGTGAGGAATACAAGCCTTGAAAATTAATGTCAGTGTTTCCTTACAGGTCACACCACTCTTGTACTTGGCATCTCTTCTTTTGGTATCAAAGAGGGCAGGACAGCACATGACAGGGGACAGACCTGTCCCAGGTCACCCACTCAGGGAACATACAGGAGCTCACCAAGAGCACAGAGGAGCTCTCACAGCCCTTCTCAGCATCTTCAGAGCCCTCAGGAGGCAAACTGGACTCACCAGGGGCAGAGATCATCTGCCTGGAGCTCAAACTCACACACAAGTACCAACCAGAGGGCAGCCTGACTGGGCTGGAGATGGGAAGGGACAGACAAGGAAGGCTCAGTGCAGTCATTTTGTTCCCTAACACTTCTGGTTTATGCTAAATCCCAGTATTTTCCTGTATCAGAGACTGCAGTTCATTCAGGCCCTGCATGTCCCTGTTCTTTAGAAGCACTGAGGTGCAGTGGACACTGCAACACCCCTGGCTGCCAAAGGCTGGGTTTAAATCACACCTTCCTGAGATCAGAACTGTGCTGATCTCAGACAACAGCAAATCTAAAAGGTTTCAGTTACTTTTGCAGGTGAAAGCTCTGTTAACACAGACAATGAGTCATTTTTAGGCAGGGGCTGCACTCACTTGTAGCCGTCTCTGATGAAAGTGGCTGCGGGCGGCAGAGGGAGCTGCTCGATTTTGGGAGGAACAGCCCACGAAGGCCTGAAGATGCAGGTGTCTGGGATCTTCAGGGGTAGGAGGCACTGGCTGGGCAGGATCTTCAGTGGAGCAAACAGGGAGGAGCCCACGAAAGGTTGAAATGATGGAACTTTGTGCACGTACGAGAAGTCCTGAAACGCCAAAGCGACATCGGTTACAACCACACGGTCAGGTTGGTCTTCAGGTGTTTAAATTGAAACCCTTGTACTGTTTCAACCCTCTACAATTGCTTTTTTCCCCCCTCAAATTCATTCCACAAAACATTCAAGAGCAGCTCCTTCAAGGAGCTCCCTGTTATCCCGGGATGCTGCACAGCCTCATGGCAGGAGGTTCATGACTCCAGGAGGCTCATTTAAGACAAGCTCTGTCTGAAACACTGGGAAATTTTCACACTGCCTGACTTTAAGCACCTAATTTAGGCACTTGAAAGATTGATCTTTGCATGACTTCTGTCCTGACAATGAGTCACAGTGTGAAGAAACCTGAGGTGCCTTGAGGCAGCCTCTGAATAACCCCACAGTGGGGATTCACAGAATTTTAGTAAGAAAGTGGACACTTATTAAATCTAAATAAGGTAATAAATACAAATATCTAAGCAATCTAGCAAGTATAAGATTAACTATAAGTGAAGTTCAGTCAAGCTGGGCTTTCATTGACTGCCACTTTTGCTTGCAGAGAGCAATGACAAGAACTTCAGCCAGCGTTTCCAGAGCTATTCCAAGCCTCTTTCAGAACAGAACTAGTCCTTTTGAGGCACTACTGCAAAGTAAAAATCAGCACTAAAACAGGAACAGCATTTAACATCTCCTTATTTCTTTGCATTTTTCCCTTGCACCTTGTCAAGCACTGAGAGATGAGGAATGTGTGGATTTTATCTCCAGCTGCTGAATATTCAGCACAAGGAATCTACTGCCATGTTCTCAACATGACCAGCAATGGGTTTAGTGCCTGTTTCCCCCACTGGTGGGTATGAGCAGGGGTGACACACTCAAAAGCAAGTCAGCTGTGCACTGGGAAATGTTCTCAGGCAGAATTAAAAGGTGTATTTTAGTAGTCCTACAATGGTTGTGAGAGAGATTAAAATATCTTCAGTATCAATGATGCCCTACAATCTGCTCCCACTCAAAACCTTCCAGCTCATTGAATTCCAATACAGGTTTCCTCTGCAGGCCCAAGTTATCCTGTTCTCAAGCAAACAGTTCACTGCACGAGCAGAGGAGAAAAACCAGCAAGGGCTGTGGTAAAGCCTCACAAACCTTACAAAAATCTTATTTCAAACTTCTCTAAAGGTACAGAAACAGGCAGAGACACGGCCATGGTGACAGCCCAGCTGTCCTGCAGCACAGCCAGGAGGAGGTGCCTTTGCTCCATGTGCCTCCAAAACCCAAAAGCTCTTAGGGAAGAAGTCCCCCTGTGGTTTGCCAGCACTTCCCTTGCAGTCTGAGGGATTCTATCCCTGCCAGGCAGGAAGATGTACCAATTCCCAGCTGACTACATCATTTATCCTAAACAAAGGGACCTACCAGGACTCTCACATCAACACACACCCACTTCTTGCCCATACAGCTGCAAGTGTATCCCTGTCCCAGCAATGCAGAACCCTTAAAACTCAGCCTTCAGTTAATTCCAGCATTCCCAGGAGCACAAAAGACAGGAGAGGAGGTGTTCTGGGGAGAGCCCATTCCAGAGAAGGAATGGGCTGTGGCAGATGAGGGACAGGGTGGGCCTGAAGGAGAAGAATTAGGCTATAAAATCAAGGCTTGGGGACACCAGGAAGTCAGAGTTTTACAGTAGGCATCTCCCTTTTATTCCCTGTGTCCAAAGGAACGAGGGGATGTGCATCTCTACACAAAATGTGCATTTTTGGATGAAAAGCCCCTCAGGCTCCGTGCATGGAAATATGGCAATGACACCTTCTGACCCCAGTGACAAAAACTGCCCCTGGAGTTCAGGAGTGCAGGACACACACAGGTTGAATGGTTTTATCCTCCCCCTCCCCTCCTGAGGGAACAATGCCACACAATCCATGCACACCCAGTGTTGATGCTGAGGCCCTTCATGGGGTGCTGTGGAGCAATGGGCACATCTGGGAGGGGAGAACCAGCAGAGTCCCTGCTCCCAAACAGCCCTTTACTCAGAGAGGAGGAACTGTGTGACACCACCTGACCTGTGTCACACACAAAGCCAGGTAAGAATGGTCCCACCTGGCCTTAAAACTTGGGAAGTAACATCAGCTGAAGAAGAAACACAGCAAGTTCAACCCCTGGGCTTTCTCAGAGAGTTTCATCCCTGACCAAGAAAGGAACATTTCAGAGGGAAAAGGGCACCACTTTACCCCAGCTGGGTCCCCAGCAGGGAGGGTGAGAGGGCAAAGGTGCTACAGAGAAATTAGCTGAGGAGACACATCCTTTAACAGCCACTGAGGCACAGGGGTGGTGGCTTTTTTCATACATGTACATTCTTTCTGTTGGGCTCATTTCACAGACAATATTATTTGTTTCCTGACCATGCCCCAAAACATCAGAGACATAAAATCACCACAAGAAAAATGCCCAGAGTTAAAATCAGGGACATGATTAAAAGCTCTTTTACTAGAGAAGAATTTTTTTCCCCCCATTCCAGACTTTATATGGGTCCAGTTCACATTTTTAGTGGGCTACACACACTGCATGTGACTTGTTTCTAGAAATCAAAGCATACAGAGATGAGCTTATAAAAATACCACAGTTTTGGTGTGTTACCTTGATTTCTTCAGGTTTGGGGCTACCTAACCCATCTTCCACCTCCATTTTGAACTCAGCAAGCTGTGTTGGGACCATGCTGACCATAGGACTCTCCATCATGCCCAGGGTGGTCACAGTCTCTGAGCTTATTCCATCTTTGTAACTCATCACTGGGGAGAAGGCAGGGTGCTGTTCTAAAGAAGGTGGTGTTGGGAACATCCTTTGGAGATCTGCCACAGCTAAAGACGATGGAATAACACACTGTTAGTTATTAAATTACCAATTCCCAAGGGAATGCAATAAAACAAAACAGACCAACCCAATGATAGCTCTTATTCCATCAGTTAAAACCCAGCAAAGGTTCTACAGACATATGGAGTTCTGAGAGCAACATAAACCTAGACAAAAAGCCAACTCCTAGGGAAAAATTCCAGCAATTCCTGGGGATATTTTGCCAGTTTGTTGTGCAGCAGAAAGAATGAACTGGTAGACACACAAATTCCATGTACAGTTTGGCAGCAATAAATTAATACCTCAGAACAGAAGAGCTGAACTGACATTAATGCAAAGTTCACCAGCAGCTGTTTCTAAGGAGTCACAGAGTGGCTTCTTCCCTTTCCCAGGGCTGACAGCAGCCCTAAATCAGGAGGCCTTTGGGATTAGGGTGCACTGAGCTGCATTTCTCCTCTCCTACACTCGCTGCAGCCTCATTTGGTCCATGGCAACACAACCCCTGTTGCTGCACAAACATGGGCAGTTTTGCTGAAGAACCAGACTCCAAAGTGCCAAGTGTCAGAGGAAACCACAAAATTATCATTTTGTACCACAGGACACTAAGTCAGGAAAATCCCTCAATTACTTCTCAGGAAATGAGAGCAATGGAATCATCCCCTGCCCGTTTTTCTCTTTAAGTAAAACAACCAACCCCAGCAGAAATGTTCAGTACAGTGTAATGCAACTGAAGACAAATCACAGCAAAGACTTTTATGTTCTCCCCAGCTCCATTCTGTTTCCTTCCACATTTATTCTGTGTGAAATTCAGAGTAAATGCTGTATTCTCATGACTGGAATTAGGTAGATCCTCTCTGGACAGAACCATCCCTCTGGTGAACCACTGAGACCAGGGAAGGGTGAATTCCCACAGGTATCCCTTCTGAAACCTCTTCTGACAGACTAAATCCCAATCCCACTTCCACACCCAAGCTGACAGGATATTCCTGTATTCAACAACATTTGCAGCCTAAAGATTATGGAAAATTCCTAAATCAACAGAGGGATTTCTGACTGGTAAACACTTTGTTGTGGAAACCCAAACTGTACTCAAAAACTAACTGAAAAGGGCAGAAATAAGTGATAGGATTAGAATTATTTATAATGTGTGTGAATATGTGTAGGAATTCCTGCAGTAACAGCACATTCTGTAGGGTGCTGCAGCCCCAGGATGTGTCTCCACTCTGCCCTAACAGAGCCAAACCTGCTTTTGATGCTTTTGTGCCCAGAGGTGACACAGTCAGGCTGTTTGAGAGCAACAACTCAAACAGGTGAGATCCCCTCAAAATGGACTTCTTTTGGTCTCAACTGTCAAAGCTGAACCCAAAGTCCTTCACAGCCTGGAGCAGTAGAGTAAATAATGGGCTGTGAATTATTCCCATTCTGCCCTTTTTTCTTTTATTTCCCCACTTTCTCAGTCTTTGAATTCCCAAGGCCTTATTCTTGTCCTGACCCAGGATAAAACCCTGAAAACGGGTTCAGTAGAATGGAAAAAGCTCTTTTCCACCCAGTGCCAGTATGGAATATAATCTTCAGGATGGCAGCTGGATTGCCTACCTCTGGTTTTTAACAGGTATGTTTTAGGCATTGCAGAGGGACAGGAAGGAAGGGTGAAATGAAAGGTGCTCAGCAGGAATTTATGATGCTGGACAAGGCCTTTCAGCTCCCCACAGACACTGCTGTGCCTCCACTGCTGGTGTCAAGGCCACAGCTACAAACCACCAGTGCAGTGTAATTCTGACTTCCCTCACACAGCTCCTCGCTGCATCATTTTCTCACCTCCAGCTCAATCCACTTAGCACAACTCTGCAGTGCAGATTCATAAAAAAGTTTAATTACAAAAAGTCCCCCAACCCTACAGCAACAGGCAGCTCTCATCGCTCATTTTCATGTGTGTCATGCTTGAAAAAGCTTTGCATATTTTAAAAAGCTATGGATCAACTAAACCTGTCAAAATCCAATCTCTGTATACTTCAGACTTCTACATTTGAGTAAATCAGCATAGCTTTTATGGGTCCATAAAACTCTGACTCATCTCCCTCAGACTGATTTTTTTCTTCACCTCAATTTGTTCTCATTACCAGCTGAAGTTAATGAGAAGGCATTAAAGAATGATTTGCAGAGAGATTGGATTTCTGCTTGTAGCAGCCACAAAAATCAAACCTTCTTCCTCCTCACCACTAAGTAATTTGTAATTTGTAATTCGATTCGTTAGTGTTACACCGAAAATTCTCACCTTCCTCCTCTCACACAGACACATTTCTCTTTCATCTCAAGAGAAGTCCATCTAAATTAATACAATCATAGAATTGTTTGGGTTGGAAAAGACCTCTAAGATCATCCAACTGTTCCCCAGCACTGCCAAGGCAACCACTGACCCGTGTCCCCAAGTGCCACGTTCACATGGATTTTTAAATCCCCCCAGGGATGGGGACTCCACCCCTGTCCTGGGCAGCTGTGCCAGGGCTGGGCAGCCCTTTCAGTGAGGAAATTTTCCCTAATATCCAACCTAAACCTCCCCTGGCACAGCTTGAGGCTGTGTCCCCTCTTCCAGTCACTCCTCACCTGGGAGAAGAGCCCAACCCCAGCTCACTCCACCCTCAGAGTAACAGTTCTCATTCCCAGTGGTTGTTGGCACAGTGCTTACAAAAAAGCCCTGTTGTTCCAATCTGCATTTCATACAATCTCAGCATACCAAATGTAATGTCTGAGCTCCCTGCACTGCCACAGCCTTCCCTGTCCATGTGCTGTGCCTGCATCCCTCCCACAGCTCTCTGCCAAGGTCTCCAACGTGCCTCCAGCCAGAACCTCGTCCTGTGATTTTCATCATGCACTTCCAGATTAAACCCTGAAGGCGATTTTAGTTTTAATTTGTCAAATGCTCAATGCAATTTTCTTCCAGAGACAGGTTGCACCATAATGGCCACTTGGTAAGTTACAGGTTTATATTCTTTGATTTCGTTAATCACAGAATATGCTGAGTTGGAAGGGACCCACAGGGATCATCCAGTCCAGCTCCTGGCCCTGCCCAGGACACCCCAACAATCCCATCCTGTCCCTCAGAGTGTTGTCCAAA